AAAAAAATGTGAAAAATATGAAAATTGCACTTTGTAATCGACCGAGCTACAAAATCAAGTATCTTGTCACGAGTTTCTCGCAGTAGTTCCTGCGCAGTTCGCACGTCCTGCTCCGTTTCGTCGTACTTCGCGAGCGTGATTCGCGGCCCGGTCAGTACCCAGATGCGGAAGCGAGACGGGCAGGACGTGTACCTACGAGGAGGTCGGCGGGGCCGCTAAATATTTAAGAGGGTCTCTCCCCCGAGACAGTGTAGCGGGCAGCCGAGAAGCTCGTATCTTCACCGCCGGGGTGGCGAGTTGCGAGGCTGCTGCCATAGAGTTACGGTGCGGGACGCTGCGATAAGCTGGACGAGGTGCGAGCAGCTCCAGCGACTCCAGCAGCTCGCAGGGCTCCAGGACGGCCGGCCCCGGACTCCATCTGGAGTCCATTCTGGACCGGGCCGCCCCGATGGTATCATTAGGGACGCACCACCTGCACGCTCGTCCCGCCTGGCCTGCTCGGCCTGCCCGGCCTATGGGATCTGCTTTGTGACTCGACAAATTCGACGATAGCGAACAGTGCGTACCCTGTGAAAGTCCCTGTCCTTGATGCCGTCACAGAAGGCGATGGCGCGATGCAAATACATTTTCGGTCACGCTTCGTTTTTTTACTTTTGGTAAAACTTCTCCAATGGCTGTTCTCCGTGCTGCTGAAGCTGGTACAGAACCGACTCTGTCGCACTGATTTGTCGCGCGCTAAGTTCTTGCGAGAGTGTGAAAGCGAGTAAAGACACGGGTGAGGAAAAGCGGACATAATTCGCGCTCGTCTCTGTCCCGGCCTGATGTCCCTGGTCCCTGTTCCACCTGGCTCCACGCGGTTCCACGCGGTTCCACACGAGCCGAAAAATGAAAATTGAATCAGGTGGCGCTCTCCAGGCCTCCAGGCCTCCAGGCCGGCACGAGTGAGCCGTAGAGGCGCTTCCACCGTGTGAGCGCCAAGATCTGAGGAGCATGTTGTCCCCTTACCGGTTTCATTAGGCTGAAAGCAAGCAAGAAGCCCAAGTGCAAAAGGTTGTCCCCCCCTGCGCGCTGTGCGCCGCGCGCTCTGAGCCAAAATGGCCACCTTATGTGGGTCTCGTGCTGCCGAGGAGAGGGTAGGGGAAGGGGAGGGCCTCTTTGCCCGTGGAATGGCACGGGTAGGCCTTCTCAATGTACCGGCCGCCCCATCCGGACCCATCCCGTCCGTACGTGCTGCTGCTGTTAAGATGCCGCGCCCCGCGCTGCCAACGCGCTGCCCAGCCATGGCCCAGCCCAGCCGAGTCTGCGCCAACGTGTATGTTCGAGGCTGGGGCGGGTCGCAAGTGTGCCGGATTTGGCCCGGAGATAGGCGGCTGTTCCCCGCGGATCAGCGAGGCGGCGACACGACGACAGAGCCATCGGACGACGACGACGACGACGATTCGGAACACACGTGCTGTCGTTCGGCGGCACGTCAGCGGCGGCAAACAGACAGATAAAAAGGGAAACAAAAGCCGGTGCAAAGTGGCGTGCGCGTGCGGAGTGTTCTTGAAATGCACTCCAGGAAAAGGGCCGAGAAATCCTTTCTCTGTTTAATCTGGGCGCCGTCTGGGTTTATCTCTCCTTGTGAGGGACCGGCAGCTTATTTACAGAGCCGTTACACCGCTTTATGCTTTTTATGCTTTTTATGGTTTCGCCGCTGTAAATTAATTTACAGCTCTGCGGCGACAGCTTCAGGCTTTTAATGCATTTCCATCAAAATGCACGGATAACACTAAAAAGGGGTCAGTGGCGTGCAGGGTGTTACTCCTGGCAGCCAGCAGTGGGTTTGTGAGAGAGAAACAGAGAGCTTGCCCGGCTGGCTGTCGTCTGTCTGGCTACGTGCCGGCGTCTGTTCCCCGCAAGGTGTACTTGTTGTTGTTGTTTGGCCCAAATTGATTTCCACACGGTCCACCACACCGTATGTAACGTCTCGGCAAGCTCTCTGGCGGCCTAATTAGTGGGATTTGCCTGCCAGCGTCCCCACCGTGCTGTGGCAGGGTGGCACGGCGGCACAGCACGAGACGGGGCTCCTCAGCCTCCCCAACAAGATCCCTCCGCCGCGCACGCCGGGATGTTGCCACGATGATAGTACTAATACATTTCTTATACTCTTGCCGACACCTCCCCTTCCTTCCCTACGGCTGCCATTTCCTGCCCCTCTCCCTTTCCTCCCTTTCTCCCTTTTTTTCTCTCCGCGTTTAATGGCACCCATTTGTTTCGGCCGGCTCACACTGTCCCGCCGTGTAGCCAGATCCGGGTATTTGTGCGCCTAATAAAGAGGAGGACAGAGAGAGAGGGTGACGCACAAAGAGGGAGGGAGAGGGGAGGCGTGATTCCGGCCAGAGAAATTGGAATGTGTACCTAAGGCAGCCGGCGGGAAATGACGCAGCGCGATAAACAGACGAGGAAGTTAAAACCATCAGCGGACTAATCCAGTGACGGCGCCGCTCAGCAGTCTGAACAGCGAGCAGCTGTCTCTCTCACACTCAGGGGGCGTCCCGCGGATTTCGAGAGTGTCGAATCCGTTCATCCCGCCATTTTTCGCGCCACTCGTTGCTCCACGAACTAGGCACCAGTTTGTTTCTGTTCCTTCGGTTTTTGCTGTTACATCCAGCCAATCCGAGATGCTTTCATTTCCAGTTTAGGGTGTTTCGGCGGTTCGACGAAATAAAAACAATTAGTTTTGCTTCATTCATCATTGTAGAAAATGTGTCAGAAATTTTCTGCAATCTGGCCAATTTTTTTTTCGGAGCATGCAGTCTTTCCAGAGACTCTTCGCAGCGCATGGCGTGGTCCTTAAAGTCACACGGCGAAACTGATCGGAACTTTAGCTGCCGCAAGATCCATATTCATTAAAGCGTGTTTTCCCAGGTTGCGTGCTTTCCCGTGGCGATGCGCTGCACCCGCCGCGGCCTCTCCCGCGCGTGCTCGATGGGCAGGAAACTATTACAGTGTAAAGTTGGTGGGCAATTTAATTTCCCACTCCGTGATTGGTCGACGCCTCAGCCTGCCTCAGCTTGCCTCAGCCGATGTCGGGATGCTCCACGTCCGTCTGCCAGAAGGCCCTCCAACTCTCCGACGCGGCACGGCAACACGCCATGTAATTGCGCCACCATCCAGGGAAATAATTTCCCGAAGCAAGACGACCGCACTCCGCCCTTAATAAATTCGACCCGAAAACAGCGCGTGCATTGCGAACGGACTCTGCAGCTCTCCCCGAATATGCTCCCGTTTTTTCTCATGAGATTGCTTTAATGAAAGGCTGGCTGGCATAGAAGCTCTTTGAGATGAAGTAAGTCTTTGCGCGCGTGGCGCACCCTTTGATCATAGCCTCTGGCCAACAAAAACGATTTTTTTTGTTGCTCTTTTTGTTATTTCCCTTTGTGCGTCAGCGACAAGGCCGCAGACACGCGTCCGGTTTGGCCGGCGCCGGACAGCGCGGCGAGTGTCGTGCGGGAAACACGAGAGATACGCCCCGGAGACCAGTGGTTTCCATTCCACATTGGGCGCATTGGAAAAGCGGGAGTCCGTTGGAAGCCTACGCTCACTCACCGCTCCGAGCCCCTGTGATACTCGGCGTAGGCAACGCGCCGAACTTGTTTGCACTGCGGTAGGCGTCCAGGATGCTTGAACACAAACCTGTTTTCTATTTCCAGCGCCCTCACATCCTGCTGACAAATACTAGACAGCGCTCGTGTAAAGCACACAAAAATTAATAGAGGAATATTTCTTCTCCAAATATGTGGTCTTCTTTTTGTAAGACCACTTTTCTATTTTTACCATAATATTTCTTCTCTCAATTTATATTTCGAGTGAATTCACCCATAATGTATTACGCTTCCCGTTTCTTGACTTGTATGCAATTCAACACGCGGGTAAAAAAATCATCAAGTTGACACACCCCTGCTGAAAAAAAGAGGCAAAAAACTTTCTGCTCGATGAAGGGTGTCGTCAGCGGCAGCCGTTATCCAAAGACTTCCGTGACCGGTGAGGCCCCGGAGGAGCCATCCCTCACAACAACACTCACCTTATCGCGCGCCCCTCGGGTCTTATCATCATTGTATAACGGGTGGAGCGTCGCGGAGATGGATGGGCAGCGCCGGGAAACGAAGTCGGCGACACGGACCACTGCATTCATTACGAGGCACGCCCGGCCTCGCCTCGCCCCGCCTCGCCCCGCCTCGCCCCGCCGTGTGTTGACGCGCCGCTCATCCATCGGATTCTGACTTGTTGCTGCGGGGTTCTTACCGCCGCGCTGGGCTGACCTGTTGAGTGGAGTCTGTCTGAATGTGACAGTCGGCCCTTTGGGCGGCCCCTGCCGTGGCCGGCCACGGCCCTTGGTCACCAAACTTTCCGACTTCGGCATGAATAAATGACAATCAAGGCCACTAGCGACGCCGTGCTTCGCTAGCAGGTTTTCCTCCGAAACTTCCCAGAAACGCTTATTGGGAGCCACAGAGGGCATTCAATTGTGGCGGTGACTTAAAGACCTTTGATAGTCTGACGATCGACCGCAATATTGTAATTCTAAATCAAGTTTCCTGAGTCTTTGCAAAAGTTTTTATTTTCGGTGGGAAGGGCCACTGTCGGGCTGGCAGTCCCCCCGGCGACATGCTGCTCCTCACGGTGTACTCGCAGAGCGTTTTACGGTGGCGACGCCAAGCCGAGCGGACGCTCAAAATAAAGCGCTGTCGAATATTGATGAACACAGTGCGCGTCTGGGCCGAGGGTGCCTGCCCTGCCCGCCCTGCCTCGCCTTGTTGCGCCGCGTAAATAATTTGCGCCTCCAAGTGTCTCTGTGTGTGTGTGACTGCATGTGTCTCTCCGGTCTCGTGTCTGTGCTGTCTGTGTGACCGTCTGTCTGTGTATTGGTTATCGTGACCGAAACTCACGTATTCTGACCAGCCCGCGGGCACGTTTCGTTTTGTTCCTCACTGACTGTACCGTTTGTCTGTCCACAGGCGTGTTCCCACTGTCGGTGCGCGTGAGGGTGCCACCGTTCAAGCAGCGCGGCGAGGACGCCGTGCTGCACTGCCAGTACGACATGGAGTCGCCCGAGCTCTACTCGGTGCAGTGGTACAAGGACAACGAGGAGTTCTTCCGGTACAAGCCGCGCTCCGACCCACAGAAGCACCCCTTTAAGGACATCGCCGGCGTCAAGGTCGATGTAAGTGTCAACAGTCTTGCCGCTGCAGAACGGCAGTAAGCGTGGAGATCAGTAGTGATCTGCTTGGCATTGGGTGGGCAGAAATAAAATGAGATAACAGTTCGAACGAATAAAAATCAAACCCAATTTAAAATTTGCACACGAAACTTCATAACTGAAAGCGGAGCTCAACGCTGCACGCCCCACGTCTCTCCTCATAGCGTCGTCGAACCAGTGGCCGGACCAGCAGATTACACACGCCTTGCACGGCCGCGTGTTTGGGGACGAGACGGGCTCCCCGGGCACTATTCACACTATTCACGGCCTGAGACAATGGCGCAGCGCGTGGCGTCGCGCGGCCGGGCCTCGTTATTCGCACTGATTCAAACCGGAATGGGACCGGCACCACGTCGGGGTGTAAATCGCGGTTAATGCGTGTCAATATTTACTGGCTGGCGACGGCATTTGCCACGGGTGCGGAAATAAAATAGTGCGCTAGTTTCCTCGAGTTTGCAGTCGGCGATCTGTAAATCTTGCACTCCTCCTTACAACACGCGCGCATACTCGAGGATGAGTAGCAGTGCATAGTGCCGCGTGAAGGGTCTGCTCGCCAAAGCACATACACCTTTAAAGCAGTGCAGTACATCGTGCATCCCTGAACACTTCTAGGACATGCACCAGCACCGAGCACGCGAGCTGGGTGCAACGCGGTGGTTGGAAGTGAATCGAGAACGTGCAGAAAGTCGGCCGGGGCCGCCGATGACGTAACCAGGCCGATGCCTTCCGTTGCCTTCCGCTCGCTTTAGGCCTCCCCCACCACCGCAGATAGTCTCTCTCACTCATGGGGCGTACCCTTTAGGTGTGACAGAGACGACGCATCGCTCCAGTACTGCGAGCCCGACCACAACAGCGCACCAGCGGCAAAGCGTGATTGGTTGCAAAGCTTAAAAACAAATAATTTTCACAAAAAATGGTCCTTAACTTTCAACTTTACAAATTCAATTTCAATTTCGTAGATGTTTGATAAAAACCGGAGGCAGCGGGTTTCAACTGGGAAAAAATTGAGGGCACTGTTGTCGTAGTAAGGATGCCCCATAGTCACGGGCTGCCATCTTGGTACCCCGTTGTGCTCGTGTGTTCAGAAGCATTGCGTCGGTCGGTCGCCCTGTCTCTCTTGTGCGATTCAGGCGTTCTGTGTCGGTGCAAGAGAGACGGCGACAGAGCCCCGCCGGTGTGCGGACTAACGAGCACTATATTATTGCGTGCAAGCTCGCTCCGCTCCACGCAGCCGCAAGCCGAGGCGCCGTCGTGGTGGCAGTGACGGCAAGGCAAGTACTTGGGATGCAAAACGTGTGGGTCTTATTTGTCTGTGTTTCGAGACCAAACACGGCGCGCTGCTTGCGCTGCGGCTCCCCTCATCTCTGTGTCATCTTTGTCCCGCCCCCGCGGCCCGCGCCCCGCCCACAACACTTACCTGCAAACAGAGCCAAATCACGTCGACACACATTGTGCCGCACACGCGGCGTCTCACGCGTTTTCACGTCAAGCCGAAAATGAAGACAATCTTCGTTTTGTCGAGAGCATCCTCAATGATGGCAACTGGTTCATCCAAAGTTCTGGTCAGGAGCTAGGAAATATTTTAGACGTGTGCGTGCGTGTGTGTCCGCTGGAAAACTTGTTTGTGGTTTTCCGCACGTGTGATGACAAGGGTCCGGTCGTATTTACTGTGCGCCGTTTGCTCTGCACCAGCCTCGTACTTCGTGGCCCTTTCGCATTCTGCGCAGCCCCTGCCCCGGCCTGCCCCTCCCCCCGGCCGCTTGACGTCTTTGATATGTGACAAGTATCCCCCACCCCGCACCCCCTCCCCGCCTCGGCGACAGCCAACATCATGACCGTCTGTTCGACTCGAGTGACGGGACTGTGCAAATACGCTCACGCCCAGCTCGCCCGGTTTGATCGGACCGCAAAGTCCAGCCCCGCGGCTGGAGCCCGCTGGAGGACGCACTGGAGAGGCGGGGCGGTCCCGGCGGTCCAGGCAAACTAATGTAAATCGGACCGCCTGTAACCAGGGAAGGCGATTCGCGTGGGTTTCAGTGGAATTTCCCCCGCTTCAACTTCCTCTTTTCTCTGTTTCTCCGGCAGAATCCCCGCTCCAACAGCAAGCAAGTGACTCTGAAGCAGGTGTCCATCCGAACCAGCGGCGTCTACCGGTGCGAGGTGTCTGGCGAGGCCCCGTACTTCCACTCGGCACACAGCGAGGGACGCATGGAGGTCGTGTGTAAGTACCCTACTGCGAACCTACCTTTCCCACACCCCTGAGTTCACCTAGGTGTCAACAGCTAGTGCTTGTCGTCTGCTGACTTTAAAAATGTGAAAAGCAGTCGTCAACAACCTGAATTTTTCCCTTTCTTCCGTTTCTCAGCTCCGTGTTGATCAAACTGGTGGCCCGCCATACGTTCCATCTGTATTTTCCGATGAACTTGGTCCAGACCGCAGCACCCCACCGCCGTGCTGTGGGCGCAGACTTTCCCTCCGCTTCTCCTTCTTCTTCTTCCGCCCTGCTTTCTCATTACGAGGAGTGCCAACGTTGCCAATGAATATGAAGTCACACACAGCGTCGACCCTTTCTGCATTTGTCGCTTTGATTTAATTTTTCGGTCGAGTGCGACGCTGTGACGGCCGCACAAAGAAGCTTTCGTGGTGTGCAAATCCAGTACCAGTCGTGTACGCGGGGATCCCCGGCAAAAATTCAGGAAGGAAGGGAGGAAAAAAACAACAAAAGATTCATTTTTGGTGGTCCGCCTGCTGCTGCTTAAGCCCTATGCTAATCTGCAGGCAGCATTATCATGAGGTCGGTGGCCCTCGCTGGAAAGGTTGGGGTGTCTGCGGCGCCCCTTGGCGCTGACTTCAAAACAAGATAGTTTTTACTGTTTCCGAAAAACCAGGTCAGTGGGTGCCTCTCATGATTTAGTCAACCAAATACCAGAGGGTGCCTCCATTGACTCGGCGACCCTAAAGGCCACATCGTTTCCTTTCACCGGGTGCTTCACCGGCGACTCTCCAGCCTCGCTGCAGACTGTTGATACATTAGATTAATGCATTTGTTTGATGTTGCGGCGTAGCGGTCGCTAATCGGTCTGTTCCATATTTATCCGCGACCCTCTTCTGGTCCGATGCCGCTCCCATTATTTATGCATTCCATTGTTTTCCTGCGCGTTTTAGCCGTGCACCTTTTAAGAGGCCGACGGAACGCCAGCGGCACTGTGAGACGCGGCAAAAGAACCCAAGTGCCCCGCAGCGCGGCGCAGATACGTGCTGGGGGAGGGGGCTGGAGAAGGGGCTGCGTCAAGGGGCCGCGGTCAAGGGGCCGCGGTCTTGAGCAACTATATTGCTTCGCACGAGGACTCTTGTGGCGTCAAGTGCCGGCCCCGGCGGCGGGGGTGGTGGGGGCAGCGGGGGCCTTGGGGCGGTAAGGGGCCTTTTGTGCCCCTTGAGGGAGGCCGCGGAGGCGGACAGGCGGGCTGCACCTTCTCCCTTAATTATTTGTCCTTATTCGAGGAAATATCATCCTGCTCAGCAGCCGCCTGATTCTCAACAAAGCTTTGGTGCCCTGTCTCTCGTGCAGTCGCGTCCCGTAGAGAGAGCGAGAGAGACATTCAGCTAGCGCATACTGCAACTTGTTTGAGTTGCCAGTCTGCTGCCGATCACAAGCAATTCTTTTTGACTTTTTGCTCAGCAGTCACGCGTGATTTAAAATGTGTTCAAGCCGCTCGTGAAATACGCAATGGCGTGTACAATCACACACGTAACTTGCGGTCAAATTTAAGCAGCTAGAAGCGTGCCCTTTCCGTCTTCTGAGGCAAGCAGTCCCCCTCCATACGTATGGGGCAGCCCTTTCAGCAGCAGTCAGGCAGTCTGGCCGTCTGGCAGTCTCCAGCTGTCCGCGGCGCCAAAGTTAAGGCGACAGATTCCGTTCGGGCCATCAATAAGGCAGGCATACACCCCGGGGCCCGCCGGGTAGGGCAGGGGCCTGTCTGCAACGTACTTTACTTGGCTGACATGCAGCGCTGCCTGCTGGCTGCCTGCTGGCTGGTTGCTGGCTGGCGGCGTGAGGCACTGCGGCCGCCCCGGGGACCTCTGGACCGGCAGGCAGGCAGCGCCGGCAGCGCCACTGTAATTCGGCCTTCTTTTGTGTCGCCCTGACAAGGCCTGTGACGTATTGCCCACTTGAGGACTCGAGGACTTGTTTAGAGGCTTTCCCCTGCGCCTCCGCCCCACTGCCGACTTGCCAAAACGGCTGTGGCAATATTCTGTTTCCTGTTCCAGCCATCCCCAAGGAGAACCCCACCATCACCGGACCCGACCGCCAGTACCAGGTCGGCGACAACCTCGGGCTCAACTGCACCTCCGCCAAGTCGCACCCCGCCTCCAAGCTGCAGTGGTTCATCAACGACAAGCCCGTGAGTAGAGTGCATTTTCGATCGCCGCTTAGCGCGCTGCTGGCGGGGTCCGGATGTGGGGAAAAGGGGGGGGGCGCTGCTGGGGCTGCTGCTTTCCGGTTTATTTATCGGTTCATTGTGCCCGCCCGGCGCGGCCCGCCCCCTCCACTTGTTTAAGTAGCTGCGATGGCTGAGTGTGATCCCGTTGTGTCATCTGGTGGATTCGCGCTGATTGGCCATCGGCCACCACAGTCCGCGCGTTCTACCCTGCGCCTTTCGTGTTGCCCTTTTTGCACACTTGCCTTTTCTTCGGAGCCCCGCACAAAAGACGGCGCGTCCTCGCGTCTTTTATTCCTCCGCGTTGAACCCACCGCGGCGAAAGGGCTGTAACACAGAGGGCGGCTGGGGGTCAGCAAGCTTGTTTCCAGGAATGCCGAAAAAGGAGCGTCATGGACCTGGCTCAAGGTCCTGCGGGTCCTGGAGGTCCTGAAGGTCGCCCTGCCGGCGAAGCTGTTGCCGCGCCGTGGCGCAGGGCTGGCCGGCCGGAGCGAGAGGCCGGCGGGCTAACTGAGACACAAGGCGGAGACGAGACACCTCGCGGCGAGGAGCGAGGGTGCTGGCCGCTGCCGGGCCCTGGCCAGGCCCTGGCCGCCCCGTCCGGCCGGGCCGACGGGGGCATAAACAACTCCCAACACCGGCCAGGGCGCCAGGGCGGCCAGGGCCATTTCTCTCCGGCCGGGCCGCCGCGCCCCGCCACGCCTTTTTGTTATTTATGAGAAAAAGCGAAAGGCCAGGAAGACGCGGAAAAATATGGACGACCCGAAGACGGCGACGGAGCCGGCATCCTTCCTCTCCCTCCCTCTTTCTTCTCCCTATCCACCCTCTCTCTCCCACCCGCACACCAGAACGGCGGTGCATCACTTTTGTTCGCCGCGTCGGTGGAATTTGTGGCTGTAATTATTGCACGCCTCTCGAGTCTTGAGAGGCTCTACGTGGCCTCCCCCCTCCTAGTGGCCACCCTCTTCCCCGCGCTCATCGCATTCCGAAACGGCAGCAGGTGTCACTTCCGGCGCGGTGAGTGCCAAATTAATGCCAACCGACACGGTTTTTCGTCAGTCTTACTCGGCATTCTTCTTTTTCAACTCGTTTTTGGCGATATTACGACCGCTGCTTCTCCGAACTTGGTGGCGGAAATCTCCCTGTCGGGGCCAAGGGAGGGAGGGGAGGACATCGCCGCACGACAAGGGTGGCACGGCGGCCCGGCGGACGGGCCTGGACGCCTCAATCATTTACCTCACCTTGAACCTCCAGCCGCCATCGCCGTGCTCTGGGCCGGCAGCGCGGCGAGGCCTGGCCGGGCCCGGCCGGGCCTGGCCCGCCAAATTTGAATTATTCACCAACGACGTTGAATAAAGAATTATTATTACGTTACCGCGCACCGCCTGGGCTGTGTGTGTGTGAGCGCATTCTACATCCGCGATGCGCTTCTACGACGGCGTGTGTCTCTGTCACTAAAGCCCCCACCCGAGTGGCTCACTCCGTGGCGGCGGGGGAGCTGGCTCGTCTGAGGTAGCGTAGCGCCAGCCATCCTACATGTTGAGCTTGTTGTCATTTAGTGCGCCGTCTTGGTGGAGGGCCGCAGGGGAAGGTGGCTCAATCACCTTGCTACACTGTGCAAAGCCAGGATGTTTCCCTTTTTTAGGGGTTCCGACGAAGGAGGACCCCTATTGCCCGGGGCCGCTCAGAATTCTTCTTCTACGGACCCCCCAGGATGGACATTTCGCTCCCGCCATATTAATCCTTTTCATAATACAATAAAAAGTCCAGAAAATCTTAAAAATTTATCGTGGAAATTTTCCGTAAACGACTAAAACATAAATTTGCAACAATCAAGCCCCCTTATCCGTTCACATTTTCCAGAAACGTTTCGAAGAAAAAATGTGCCACTCCTCAAAACTAAACTTCCTGCCTCATCAAAGTGACAAAAACTAATCACTGTTCTAAGAAAATAATAAAAACATGAAGAAAAATTCTCGATGAAAACGTCCCACTGCCATTATACCAACTGTCAAAATTTAAAGTCCATGATAAAAAGAAATTAAAACGCCGTAAAATTCACAAATGCCAATGTTCACTCATTGTACACTGATAAAACATTTACACATAATTCAAATCTGTCATTAGTAAAAACTTCACAGCAGAAAAGACAGAATAAATAGATTTTCCGCAGTTGGCAACAATTTTCTCGGCGTCTGCGCCCTTTCGAAAATCGCGAGGCTGAAAAAACGAGTAGTCGCGCATTGAAACTGCCCCTCTATTGTTGCTGAGGTTGGATTGTTTGGCTTGCTTTTAAAGGCTGCGGTTCTCGTCTCATGTTTTCCTCAATTCTATAACCAGCACGACGGTTGGTTTGACAAACTTTTTAAACTCGGGAGGGGTGCTTTCGGAAGGCGGATGACTTTCGGTTGACGAACATGAGCGAGCACTGTAAATCGCGAGATCGCGAGATGGACTGAGATGGTCATTGTGTTAACTGAATCACTTTTGGGAATGTAAAAATATCGGTAGGATTCAAAGTTACGTAAATAACGGTAAAATTAACGTAATTAACGTTTAAATGACAGATTTCAAAATGATTTCCACAACCGGAACACCGTGCAATGCGTAAGCATTGGAATTTTTTTCTTTTTTCAAATTTTCGGCACTTAACGACATTAGGCCAGTGCTGTATCTTTCCCGGTCGCAAGCTTTCCAGCCGAGACGCCCCAAGTAAGCGAGTTGCAGTTGCGAGGCATGCCCCACACTACTGTTCCACTCTGTTCCAGCCGTCGGGGCCGCCGTTACCGTTACGGACCGAGTTACTACCGCGCCTGTTATATTTTCATGTCACTTGGAAGGAGCGGCCGCGGTTACTCCACTGGAAGGAAAATCGTGGACGTTGATGGAGGCCTGGCGCCGCCTGGCGCGGCCGCCACGTGTGGGCTGCACGTGTACGGCCGTTTGCCCTCTCAATTTTTCATACCGGAATCCGCAGCCCCAACCAAACAAACACCCTGGGCTGCGCCCTCGTCTGTCAGTTATCCCCGTCTGTCTTTCCCTCGCCGGGCCGTGGCGCCGCCCTGTGCGTGCCGCGTTGGATCACTTTCTTCGGAGGAAAGTTCGAGGCGCTCGGGCGCCAGACACGACCTGGCTGGAGTCGTGTGTTCGAGTGGGGAGTGACCTACGACCTGTAGATGCAGAGGGATAAGTCTGGATAAATAAAATAGCCACAAATTTTAGTTTTTATTTTTCGAGGGGTTGCCAATGCGGTGTTCTTCGTGTGACCGGCACGTAACACAGGCGTGCCCTGACCGTGCTAATGAAAAATCTTTGCTGGATTGCATAGTACACGGACGTCCTCTAAAATACATGACGCTTCGTCGACTTTGACAGACACGGTCCTGTTGTGTCCAATAATGGGTGACCTGCTGACCCGTTGACGCCACGACCCCCAGCAGGTTGACGCAGAACAGCCATCGCTCTGCCTCTCTCCCACGCATGGACGCGGTTCACAAGTGCGAGAGGGACAGGGCGACTGTTTGGCATCAGACCACAGCAGCACTGCTCCTCGATCCGACATTCGGGCATGGGCAGGCATGGGCAGGCATGGGGGGGGGGGCACGGCAACTCACTTGTCAGACTGTGCCTTACAACATTTATGGCAAATCGTGGCCGGGTTGGACCCCTCCCCCTTCCACTCCCTCCTCGTCGTCCTCCTAATCCTCGAGTGCCCCTCGACTGCCGGTATCGCATCGGCACGTGAACGCCAAGGACATCACGCGCCGGTTCCGTGCCGCGGCGGAAGGGATCGGAGTCAGGGAGGGAAGCGGGGCGGGGCGGGGCAGACAGTTGTCGGCCGTGTAGAATGACGTCTCACGCGATAACGCTGTTGTGGCCGAGAGCTGGAAGCGGGCGGGGTGGGGCGGTTGCTGCAGAAGGGCAGGGCGCCTTTCTGGCAGTCTGGAAGGCGTTCCAAGGCGCAGCCCGCCCCACCCCGCCCCGCCAGCCCCGCCACTTGTCAATCGAAACTTGACGGCGGCCAACTGCCTCCACGCCAGGGCAGCGGCCTCCTCCTCCTGGAGGGTAGGCACTCCCGATGTCGGCCGCACAGTGCGCCCACCGCGCCCTCCTCACCAGGCCGCCTGTCTCTCTCGCAACCCTACGGAACTCCCCGCGAGTGCGAGAGAGACAGATGCTCCCTGCCGGAATCAGTCTGGCGGCGTGTGCGCCCCAACGCCCGAATGGGATTTGTCTGGAGGCGCCTCGCCACGCCTCGCCACGCCTCGCGCTGGCGGCCTGGCGCGGCCTGGCGGCTCCGCGTCCCTCGGGGACTTCCAGATCCAGCCCCTATGCAAGCAGTATCTTCCGGTGGATTTTCATAAGGCCCCCGGCACGGCATGAGAATGGGGGGGCCTTGCGAGTGTGTGTGTGTGTGTGTGTGTGTGTGTGTGTGTGTGTGTGTGTGTGACTTGCGTCGGTGTGGGTGTTGGTGCAGTGCTTGTGGATGTGAGATGGCAAGAAGAGTATCAATGGTGAGTGCGCGGCGTCCGTTCGAGGACTCGTTGTTTCCCCCTCGCCGTGGACCCCACCATCGACTCCACCCCTTCCCCCCGGCCGTGCGTCTTGCCAGGCCAAACTCGTCCCGCTGCAAAGGACCCTGCTGACTGACCAACTGACCTAAACAGTAACAGCTCTTCAAACTGTTTGCCCCGCCCCCCTCGGCCCCACCCGGCGTTGGCCTGCGCAGCTTTTCCGCCTCTGTTGTCCACTGTTTCCCTCCTACTTCTCCTCCTCGTCCCTTTAAGTTGGAAGTTATCCCGGTGTGATCCCCTCTCCCCTGCTTCGACGTGAGGGGCACCCGTGTCGTCCTGCACTTACGGCGCGCGTGCACACACACACACACACACAAACACACACACACAAACACGGCCGTGTAAACCCCCTGTTGGCTTCCCCCGTGGCCCTCCGCGGTGGCGCAGGTC